TATATATATAGTAATATTACATTACATTTATGTACAAGTGTAAAAGTAAAATGCTTTAATAATGAATATTAATGTGTATGAAGTGGTGGAATAGTGTCTATTGTAATTAGCATGAAGATAGCTAAAAATACATTTACTTTAAGGAAATAGTTAATATTTTTTGAAATTGAGTTATGTGGAGTAGTTATAAGTAGTCAATATGTAACATGCACCAGACAACAGTCAGAACCATCCCATTTTGGAGAGAAATTCCCATGTTTATGTCAAGCTAAATGAAGGCATGATGAATCTATCATAGGTTGGATTTCAGCTGCCAAAACATCTCAGATTTCATAAAATATTGTTGTGGCAACAGATATGTTACGAATTTTACACCTGTTAACTTTTGCATCATAAACTAATGCAGACAGGTCTTTGGTCTCACATGGTCAGTGTTGCAGTTCAGTTAACCATGAACATAGATAATAGGGGTGGGGTTATAATTTACTTCTAGCTGCATCGCATCAGTAAACATGGAAGATTATAAATTCATTTTTAAATGTCAAGATGACTTTTTAACGACTGTGCTGCTACTTTAGGAAAACCAGCAGAGTTTTTATGCTATGGTTGCAGTAAAGCTGTGTTTTCCCATATTTTTCATTCTTTTTCACTGAACTGAAGAACACGTCTGTAAAAACAGCTGAAGTTCTGTAGTGACTGTTATAGTGATGACTTTGAAACTTTTTAATTGTTTAGAATTTTCAGTGAAAAACACAATGCTAATCATGATGCTAAATGTTTTTATGGTGTTTTGAATGTTACATTAGCATCTATGCTAATTGTCGGTTAGCAGCCTGTGATTAATATGGTCTTTGCATATGGTGTTGTGCACTTTTTTTTATTATACAAGAAAATACATAAAACAGTATTTATTTATGTAAGGTTCCATAGCCATTTTGATTTACATATTTGTATTTTTGTCTGTCTCTGTATTTCAGTTTCAGTGTTTTGGATAAATATTATAAGCTTACCAGCTGCCTCCTGGTATTTATTTACAATCCTAATAATTGCAGATAACCAAAGTTTATTAATTCTTTTATAATAGCATCAGAGCTTTTTGAACCAGAGTAAAATCTTGAGGTGCCTGAAGATTTGTACTGTTAGTAACCAGCTGATGCAAAAGCTACTTGGTGTGAAAGTTTAAATTAGTGCTTTCACGTCAACGAATTTTTTGAAATTGATGGCTGAAATCAGCTTTGTAATTAAATTCATTCTGGCTACCTGTCAGCTGGACTCCTTGAGAATTTCTTACTAAAATCCTTGTCTACTTCAGGTGTCCTCCTATTTAAGTTGTTTACTTCTGTTTTTGAGAACTTGCAAATCATGGAGACTGCAATATTTTCAGTCCAGGAGAGGTCAGCAGAGACAAAAACACTCACCACATTCTGCCCCTGAGCCTCGTGATCTCACCTCCGTAGGCACGCTCTGACAACGACAGGTTTTAGTTGTGGACTTGCTGTGGTGGGGATGGCGTGGAAGGAGCGAAACAAGCAATTCAGAGGCAGAAACTTGTGGAGAGCCTGTGAAGGCTGGTGGAGGAGAAGTGAGAGCCAAGTTTCGCAGTCAGTGGTGATAAAAAGCCCTTCAAACTGAAACAGTTTCAGATCAGTTCTGTTTACGGACATGAATCTTTGGGTTTGATGGTATTAAATGTTGAGCTGTGGTCGTTGATTCTGACACCCCCCCCCCCCCCCCCCCCGAGTTTGTGGGGGTCAGCACAAAAGGTCTTTATGAATTTCTTTAAATGGATTTATTTGCTTTCTAAACAAATTAATGAGGATGAAATGTGGAAAAGAGGGTGGATTTGATCATCAGGAAGTTTGTTGAAGCACTTCCTAATGAAGTGGGTGTGAGAGCTACTTGACTGTCATTTGAGCTGCCTTTTGGGATGATGATGGCAGGATGAAGTCATGGAGGGATGGAGTACATGTCAGGGACTCCTTAAATGCTGTTTGGTTGTTGGCTTAGGCATCGTTTCATGCCCCATCTTTACACTGGAAGCTTTTAGTTTTATTTTCCTCACCTCTCAAGCATTCAGCTTTTGGAGTCAAACTGTAGCTTAAACTTATTGTGCAGAAAACAGTACTTGAAGCTGTGTAAGAGCAAATTCAGGCCAAGTTTAAATCATTTCTGTGCAGATTTTTGGCTTTCTCCAAAGCAGAGTGTTAAAAATATTTTTACCTTGTAGCCAGTGATTCTGCTGTAAAAAGACTGATTAATGTTTACAGCTTTAAAAGGAACTCCCCTAAGCTGAAAGCATTGTTGCTGCATGTCCCTGCTAACACATGCTGCTCACAGAGGAGCCGAAAGCAAAATAAAGACAATAGTGCACAACAAATAAGCAGCCTTTTATTATAAGTAATAAAAATTCATCAGGACTGTTGATGAATGGATCAATCAAATATAATTCTTACATCATTGACTGGATAAAATAAAATTGAATTTTCTTCTTTTTTAGACACAAAACACAAAACTCAGTTCATCCAATTGATAAGGCAAAACTAACACAAATATAATATTGTTGTAAAGATAAAATGAACGTATGAATATAGCTAAGAATACTATTTATCTACAACTTTAAGTTTTTTGAATGGTGACTTTTATCCAATAAGATTCATACTTTTGATTCTTTATTTACTTTAACCATGATATATGTAGAATTTATTAGCTTGTAAAATATTGTCTTATCATTAATTTAGATTGCTTTACAGTCATTGTGGTGGTCAGACAGCTAGACACAAATTAAGTATAAAAATATTTTGTTTTTTATAAATATAGAAACATGCTTATAGATGCTGCAGCTACCTGAACAGAAAATATCGGTTTTGGAGGTTTAATATTTTATTTATTTACAGTTTTATTTGTATTTATTCGCATATAAAATATATTTTTCTTAACATGAAATGCCACTGCAAAGACCTAAGACTAATATGTAATACTTGGACAAAGTTCACAGTTTTGTAAATTACCATAAAATATTTCTCAACAGCTCGATATCATGATGTAATAATTTGCTTTACACAGTTTTTATTTTGCATGCTCAAAAATTTACGCCTCATTTTTATCACTTCTTTTCATTTACTTAAATAACTGGTTGTATCAGTTTATTTGTATGTATTATGTTTATTTTTGTACCTACAAGTTATGAGATTTGACATCAACATTTTAAAGAAACAACATGATTGTTGTGCAAATAGCTGAAAACACAAGTGAAATAAATAATGATGAGGATGTCGGTCAGACTTTTGCACCAATCGTGTGAAACAAAAAGCTAATGTAAACTTTATGTCTCTTTATTTTGAGAATTGAGAGGATATCCCCATCAAACCTGCAAAAATAAATTGAAATCTGCTCAGTTCCCACAATGCAGCAAATTTATATAAAACAAAGTGAATCATGCAAACTAGACTTAAAAATAAAAAGAATAAAATAGACTTTGTGAGTTCCAGTTTCAGTTATATAAGCCAATATGCAGCAATAATGGGGAATAAATGCAGTTATATTTTGGTCATGCAACTTTTAAGGCAGAGCTCACATTTCATCTTAACTGGATAGTAACCCAGCGAACCAATGGGAGCGCACTTACTATCCCACACACTCATTTTTACATCTTTTGTAACCTCAACAGCTGAATCTGATGGAAGCTCAGATTCAGCTTCAAGAATCTCCAAGGATAGCTGAAAATGCCCACAAACACGCCAATTACTTTACGGGTTGGTTCAGATCTTTTGATGTGGAGGCGTTGTGAGCAAACATTATCTTACCTGCTGTAGATAGTTCTCCGAACGGCCTCGGTTTGGATGAAACTAATTTTATTTCTGACTGACTTGAAGAAATAATGAGCAAGGCCAATTTTCATTGTGGTCATTATATTTTATATGCCTGACTAAAATGTCCCGGGCTATTTCTAATTACTGTACCCGTAAATCCAACCGCTCATTTTCTTTACCTACATTTACTTTTTGACTAACAGGGAGCTGGTGCCTATCTCCARCAGTCGCCGTGTCACAAGCCCACCCAGGGCCACATAGAAACAAACAAGACCTACAACCATTCACAGCTAGGGACAATTTAAAGTTGCCAATTATTTGGTTTGTGGGAGGAAACCGGTGTACCTGGAGAAAACCCACGTGYGCACATGGAGATTATGAAAACTCCACACAAAAAGACACCAGGCCAGGAGATGATCCTGCAACCTTCTTACTGAGAGGCAACACAATTCTACGTAAATATTTCCATAATGGGACACTGGTACGTCAAATTTATTTATATATGGCACACTAAAAACAACATAAGCTGACCAAAGTGCTTTACAGTTCAGGCAAGAACTTGTTTCATTAAAAAAAGGTAAAAACAAAATACAGAATTATAACAATATAATAAAAAAATTAATAAAATACAAAATTGAGTTTAGTTTTGGCCTTAAATCGCCATTAGCTCATCATTTTGATCAGAATTAAATGCTGTATTTTCCAAACTGAAGCTGTTCAACAGGTGAGATATTAATTGTTCATAATAACCAACAAAACCCTACTTCAAGAGATCTGAACTATTGTTTTAACATCATCACATGGCCATATAACCTCAAAGTAAATCTTAAAGAATAAAAAAACCCAACTTCATATCTGGACTTTTCTCAACCGGTGTGTTTGTTTTTATTTCCCTGTTGTTAGACTCATGGCTGTGGAAGATGAGCTGAGAGGGGGTGCCATTCCTGATATTAAGCCTCGAATCCTCACAGACCAGGTTTGTGCCTGTGTCTACATCTTTTATCCATCCCTTTCCGCTGAACCAGTCATGTCCTAAATCAGTTTGCTGTCACTCTTGCATCATATCCAGAGCTCCTTTTTTTTTTTAAACCAAAGCTAGTTGGGAAGTTTGCCGTTTTCATACACGTCAGCTGCTTCCATTTTTTTTGTCACATTTAAAAACAACATCTCACCACATTCTGCACACACCTGAAGGGGATGGGGGGGGGGGGTGCTGAGCCTGTAAGAATAAAAAGAAAGATCTTGGGTAATCACCGTGAAGAGATACCAGATTTTCAGAAGCAAAATTAGAAATTATTTACCTAAAAAAAGATGATTATTCCATGGAATGCATTCATTATTGGAGAAATGTGAGTCACCAGCAGCATCGATGAAATTCTGCTACATGAATGCTCCATGTGGGCTGAACAGTGACGCAGGTGAAGAGGCTGTTTGTGCTGAAATAACTCAGGAGAAACAACATTTGCTATCCTTGAAATACACTGTCATTCCTTTTTATTTTATTCATATTTTTTTATAATCAGCACTTTATATTATAAGCGAACAGATGAAACTGTCTTGAAAGATATAGAAATGTTCCTACGCTCGGGCTGATTTTATTTTATTTTATGACATCAGACATCTAGAATAAATGATGGGAAGAAAAAACATTTGAACTGTTCTACCTAATTTAGAGTTTGGTGTCATTGTTTTAATTACATCCCCGTGTTAAAGTTTGACATTTTCATTTTTCTTATTTTTATGGCTCAGATCTTTAGATTTGTGCTTTATTTACATGTGTTTGTCTCCATTTCTCACTGAAAAAAAAACATATATATATATATAT